TAATATATTTCCAACAACCTCTAATAATCTTACAATTAATAGTCTCAAAAATAACAAAATTCTTTTTATTGAACAAATTACAATAGCAGATAATAATTTTCTACTACTATAGAACAATATTTACCTTTGCACAAACAAAGCAACTAGAGGTTGTCAACCTTGCTGGTTTATACAACTTCTACAGAATATACAATCAAACTCTATTCAAACCACCTGGCCACATCTCTGACAAATTGCTTTATCAATATTACCAATATGATATCTTTAACAAATCCAACTTTTCCTTACCAACTTTTATCATATAACCCAAATATAATTATCAACCAATCAAACTTTCAACAAATTACTTACTACCAAATCATCTCATCAACTATACAAAATGAACAAACAGGACTTACGGGACTGACCAAAACTAATAATACAGTATCCAACTCAATATTTATAAATCTAACATACAAACAAATTAACTTTAAAAAACTATTTTTACAAATAGACTATAAAGAGATTCTTGCAATAATTAATATATCTAAAAATCTTACTATAACTCCAACTCCTTCTCTACACCAACCTCAAGTCAATTTATCCTCCTGTAAAATACATCTTATACAATATACCATTAAAACACCTAACTACTAAAACTATCTAATTCAACTATATAACAATATTTAAACTTAAACACAACTGATTTACAATTCTATACTGATGCTTCTATTAAAATCTTCTAATATTTAATATACAGACTGGCATTGGTTGGATCTGTAAAAATGACCTCTCTATTAATTTTTGTATAGCAATCTCTCCTTCTCCTGACTCCATTCGCTCAGAACTAGTAGCAATTATTTCTCTACTTCTTATCTTACCAATCAATTCTACACTTATTATCTATATTGGCAATATTCCAGCAATTAAAGGCCTATCAAACCCTACATCTCATAAACTCATCCAACAAAAAAACTGGGATATCATCTTTATTATTAACTCACTTATAAAAACTAAAAATATTTCTATTAATTTAATTAAAGTTAAATCACACTCAAATAACTCTCTCTATAACCAAGCTGATCTTCTAGCCAAATGTGATATGACTAAACCAATTATAGAAATCCTTTCTTCACACTTTAATCTTCCTATTCACTTTATCTGATACAACCACATAATAACACTTAAAATTCGTTTATTCATCAAACAATTCAAGAACTTCTTTTATGGACCTCTCTCAAATTCTTTAACAATTATATATCTGATATAAATTGGAATCTCACTTTCAAAATTTTTAACTCTCTTGAGCATTGCTCTTCAAAATACCTCTTTTATATTAAAGTTCTTACAAATAATCTACCTACTATGCAAAATCTTAAAATCCAATACTCTAATCTTTATACAACAGATAACTGTTGTAAATATTTTGCAATAGAAAATACTCTCCACATACTTCTATGTTCAAAAAACAACGAAGATATTTGACAATCACTTTTTAATATAACTTCAAACATATTAAATCAACTCGAAATTATATCTACTCTATCAATTACAATTCTTAATACTCTCTCACAAACTACATTTGATTCTATAAACTCTCAATATAATTTTTTACTTCCTACTATTCTTGGTATTTACTCAAAACCAATTTATCATACTCTAAAAACTCTATTTAAAAAACAAACTAAATCATTTGCGATCAGTCTTTTAAACAATTTCTTTAAATAGTTCTATCATAAAATATGGCCTCAATGAAATATACACCAACACCAATGGGAATTGGCCCAAAATATCACTAATAAAACCAAATGTACTAAATTTTCCCTACCACTTATTACAAATCGATTAAGTACAGAAACATCTACTATTCAACTATCAAATTTATGCTCTACTATTGAAAAATAGTATCTGCAAGGATTTTCTCTAACAACATGCCTTATGTAATGTTATGATATACACCTTAGAGTTTTCTCCAACCTATCCTAGCTAGATTTATTTTATTCATTTAAACTAATAATAGCACTAAAATAGAAAATAGGAGGTGTAATATCATATTGGGTGCTCTGTAGCACAAGTATAGCTAGAAATTTTTAATTATAGAAATTTTTTTTTTTCTAATCAATCTTTTTATAATTTATTTGTTCAAGTTGAAGAGTTTTGGCAGCCAGATTATAAATAAATAACTTATCTATTCCCTTACCTGGATTTGTAAACTATGGGAAAACTTTCAATCTTCAGACTATAATAAAGTTTCTACTATGATATTATAATAATAAAAAAAAAAAAGCAATTGTACACTTCAATAATAAAATTTATTTGTATACTTATATAAGGTTTGAAGATAAAGGTTTATATATATAACATAATAGTATTTAGGGTCCTATTACACTATAATTGTTATACCAGGTGACTGGCAAATCATCAATTAATGATAAAACTATATTTTTGAAATATAAGTAAAGAGGTGTGGCAACTTAGTGTAGTAGTCTAGTCATTACCCTCTCCAAGTGGCAGGTCTAGAGTTCAAATCTCATAGACGATGATATTTGAAAAATAGGCTTGTGTTTCAGTTAACTGTTATGCTTATTAGTTGGATCTAAATCTGTAACTTCAGTCACACTATCTAAAAATGGGAGCTTTGGCGCAATAAATCCAAGGAATTAGCATAACCGAAAACCCATTTGGGAAGTCTCGAGTCGGGTAACAATGATCTTCAATGGTACTACAGGAGGAACAAATTTGGAACTGGGGACTGAGATTGGAGAACCGAGTGACCAGGTTCTATAGCAGAGAACACACCAGCCAAACTGCTGGGTACTGTCACACCGAAAGAAAAAGACATATGCTCTGAAAGTATGGACCAAGGGGAGGGCGTCCTTTGGGCACCTAAAGCCTGAGCAGACTGACTCTTCCGAGTTGCCGGCTAGAAGTAAGGAAGAGACCAATAAAGAATCCAGAAAAAAAGGAAGTCCAACTGGGGTATCGGGGTTGTTGTGAACCCGTACAAGGGCAGGAGATATATGAGGTAACACCTTAGTACTAACTTAGGTTTAAAGGCATAATATCTTTGAAGCCTAATCTGGAAACGTGTGGAACGTAAAAGGAATTAGGAGGGCATCTACTGTGCTTATCCTTGGGTAATACTGGAAGATTAATTTCGAAAGATTAGCCTAATAAAGGTAAAGCCAGTGGGGGAATATCAACCTGGGTGGTCCCTATTTGGATATTAACTAGGTAGGTTGCAGTACGAATGTATCTAAATACCCAGCAGCCATTAGTATGAAATTAAACAGTTTTTAAAAAATTAGGATTCCTGGATTAAGGTTAGGTTAAGGGTTAGGGTTAGGATAGGAGAGATTGTAAATATAAAATTGCCTTCCTGACACTTTTTATTAGTGCTCTAAGATAGGTTTAGACTGCCGTTTATTATATTTTTTTGTATTTTCCTCTTTTTTTGCTTTGTTTTGCTTTGTCGGGCTGATTTGGGATGATCAAGTTTCACGATTTGATTGGTCAATAATCATATGATCTGCTGGGTAAATAGATGTACTCAGATTGCAGTACAAGGGTATGGCTTGTAGACATATAATAGGGTAGTGCAGGACTGGGGTGCCAGAGGGTTTAAATGGGTAATTTTCTAGTTGGGTTACAGGTACAGTAGCTACTTAAATAGGCACTCAAAAGGTGCACGTGTGGCTAGTTGTACTCTCACATGCTAAAAATGTACTACTATACATAATATATATAATAGTTACTTCGGTAACAATATTTACACCTAATAAAGTCAGCCATGACGGCATTTGGTGAAATAAAAAAAAAAAAAAAATATAAGTACACTCTATAACTAAAATATTATATTTTACTTTTATTAGGTATTTTTTAGCTATCTAATTTAGATTACTACTAAAAAAATAAAATGCATAATATTATATTAATTTCTATAGCAATTTAATAAGTTCATCCTAATTGCAAGTGATAGTTTTTTTTATTGCATAGATTATTAGAAAATTGGTTAACAATTTAAAATTAGTATTTATATATTACTATAATAAGCTTCAATATACTATCTTATTCTTATACTTGATATTAATATAATAAAAAATAAAATAAAAAAACTTTAGATTTAATTTAATTCTAATCTAACTTTAACCTAGCTAATTTTTATTGTAGACTCAATTTTGCTATAAAGACACAAAATATATAAGGCACTATCTAGATTTTTTTCTTTATTTATATATATCTTTTTTTAATACCAATTTTATAAAAATATTAATATCTAATTCATTAATATTATTTATTTTATATTTATTTTTTTAAACTTTATTTTAAAATGTAATAATATAGTGTAGCAGTTAAAGTATATAAAAATAGTTTGCTACTTTAAATAATTTAAATACTCCTAAATACAAAATGGTTAAATTTTTATTCTGTATAGTTTTTATTAATTAGTTTAATTAGAGAATGGCTTTATTATAAACCAGGGTTTTTATGCTAGAACTCTAGAATCTAAAAAGGTCTATATGTAGTTTTTAGTTGGTGTTTTTTTTATCTAGTGTACTAATTTATATGTATTTATAAAAAAATGCCAAACTTTAAAATTTCTTTGTAATAGATGGTAACCATTACGGTAGTTATCACGTGTACTAAAAATCAATCATCTCACAATGAAAAAGCAGATTTCTTGTTTGTAGCACCAATTAAGTATTTTTCATAACGATAACGTTAAAATTATAAAACTGCGCTATTTTAAACGATTATATTTTTTTTTTACTCGATATAATTTAAAATTTTCTCAAAGATCACCGCATTCAGTATTTTATTATTAACATTGGCATTATTAGTATAGTGTGCAATGTAAAGTATAAAATTTATTTTTATTTAAAAGATATGTAATAATGTAAAATAAATGCAGAAATCAAGAATAAAAGAAATATAAAAAATAAAATAATAATAATATAATTACAAATAGATATAGTATTCACACCAAATAATAAACCTAATAAAACTTTCGGAGCCTAACGCTACTCTCCTTTTCTGGGTTTAAGCCTAATCATCAATCGATTACAACTATTAAGAAGATAAGTTTTATCTTTTGCATCCACATTTTTATTTACTAATTCAACATCATACTTCTTAAATAATAAAACCAAAATAGTTTTCATTTCAACCATTGCCAATTGTTTACCAACACAACCTCTTAATCCGCCACCAAACGTAAATAATTTTTGAGACATTGATAAAGGGTAATCATTAGATAAGAATCTTTCAGGAATAAATTCAGTAGGCTTTTCCCAATAATCTTTATGTAAATGAATAGCATCTACACAAGCAAGTATCGTAGTAGATTTTGGAATTATATATCCACCAATTTCATCTTGTTCATAAAGTTCTCGAGGATTAATTGGAGGATTTGTTTTTAAACGACTTGTTTCTTTTATAATCGCATCCAAATAAGGAAGATTATTCATAAGTTTTTCATAAGTGATATCACTTGACGGTAATGTAATAGGAAATAGTGAATCAAGTTCTTGAATAAGTTTTTCTTTTACCGAAGGATGCTTACATACATAATAAACAATGAAGCATGTAAGACTTAACACCTAAAATAATGACAAACGTTATTTAATTAATAATCTTTTTAAAAAATTAAATTTATAAATTTCATGTATATAATTTTTTATGTAAACATACCGTTTCAACACCCGCAACAAAAAATTCAAGTAAAACACCAAAAATTTCTCTTTCGTCCATTGGTTTTATAGCTTTTTCATCATTATTTTTTAAATCTTGAGCTTTGTTAACAGTTAATAATGTATCTAAAACATCATTAGTATTAAGTTTATCCAAAGATACATTTTCAAATTCTTTCATACGTTTTTGAATGATTCTAGAAAATTCATTGGTTAACCAATTATAATTTAATTGGAATCTTAGTTGAAAAAAAGATAATGGAGGGATATAATGACGAATGAAATTCGAGGGACAAAACGTCATGAATATCACTAAAAAAAGAAGTTTATAACATAAAAGGGTTAACACAAATATACATATATAGTATCGATTTTGTACATCTAAATAAAAACATACTATGTTTTACCCAAGTTACGAGACTTTTAATGAATTTTTCCGATTCAATAATTTCATGAGTTGGTTGCTTTTTAAATTTGCTAAGAGAATTAAAATAAGCAGCCATACTAAAAGCATGATCACCAAAATTCATATTTAAAGCGAGATCAGTAATAAATCTTCTCATCCATTGACTAAAATCAAGAACAAATTCATTAACATCTTTTGAATCATTATTAATTTCATTATTTAAATCATTCCAATAACCTTCAATTTCTATAAATAATTTTTTAACAGCTTCCATATAACCTTTTAAAACTTTAACATTTGAAAGAGTATAATTTAAAATTCTACGATTATATTTCCAACTATCAAAATCTCTATTAAAAACAATTCCAACTTTATCCATTCCTAATTCTTTAAAACCATTGGTAGATAAAGCTCTACAAAAGAAATTAGTTTTTGTAGAATTTGTAAAAAGTTTTTCAACTAAAGAAGCATTACATAACCAAATATTACGTTCAGAAAACATATAAAGTTCAAAAATATCACCATATTTTAATTGAAAATTTTTAACAGAACTAAGTAAACAAAATCCTATTTGAAATAAATTTCCAATAATTGGTAATGGTATTGGACCAGGTAAAGGATTTGGACGAGTAAAATAAATAAAGTAAAAACGAAAGATATAAATTAAAAATAAAATTAATAAAATATCAAAATTTTGAAAAAGGTTATTATTTATGAATAAAGTTGGAACATTATTAATGGAATTTGAATTTATGAAATTTGAATTTGTGAATAAATTATCCAAGATTGTTAAATTATTAACAATTGGAACTTGAGAAAGAAGAGGTTCATTATTTGCGAATAACGCGGAAATATTAAACATGATTGCAGAATTTGTGAAAGTTGTGAAATTTGTGAAATTTGTGAATAACGTGGAAATATTAAACATGATTTTTGAAAGATTAAAGAACGAGTACAAACTTTATTGTAAAAGTTAATGAATTATAAACAAGGTTGGTTTAAAGCAGGCTATATAAAAAGATGTAGAAATTCTGGAGGGGTGACCCGTTCTCTTGATAAACACGAAGGGACTGCGTCTTACGTCCTATGATAATTAGTTACACTAGATGTACTAGATGTTGATAGAATCAGAAAACAACTTCCAGATTTTACTCATATGTACACACGTACGTGTGTAAAAAATTTTTTATATATCTAAATTAGGATTTGAAGGATATTTTTATACGGATATCCGCTAGTAAAATTATAGATATCTATTTTCAAACTTGTTTCTGTCTTTTGTTCCTACTGCTATATTGGTCTTTGTCTCTTGATCGCCGAAGGTCACAGGGATAGATAAGATTCCAAATTTCTACCAATGAATCAGGATTTGAATGATATTTTTATACGGATATCTGCTAGTAAAATTAAAGATATCTATTTTCAAACTTGTTTTTGTCTTTTGTTCCCATTGCTATATTGGTCTTAGTC